TATATAATATTGCTGCCCTCATAAAAGGGAATCCATTACCATCAGCAATTCATGTCCCTGCTTCAGCATCAGATGCAAACAGGATACGGAAACAAGATCTCTCTCTTCCATTTACTTTTTGTTCATTCCAACCTCTGGACATAATAATCCTCAGTCCCATTCCACTGGTCTGCTACATCATCTGACACTCCTGATTTCTACCTTTTCAAGTCTTAGTGACCATCCTGTTACATTTCGGTGATTGTTTTGGTGTCTAAATACTACAGAATGAGTTTGCTCATTACCCTCCTGATAGCAACTTAAGGAAATGAATCTTGAACAATTCAGTTCAGGGATTCAAGTGTATTATCCTGAGGTCCCTCCCCCTGCCCTATTCTGTTGAGAATGTTTGACTTTTCAATAGTAATCAATGTGCTTTTTGGTGATCAATACACTTTTCATAAAAATATTTCCTCAGTTGGAAGATGTGGGTACAGGGGCTTTGTTAAAAGAGCAAATGCTTCTTTCCCTTGTCTTCACCCACAAAACAGTAAATCAGTATTAAAACAAAACAAAATGCACCCGGATGGTATATTAGCCTCCTGAAGGGGCATATGGAAAAAGCACACAAGTAAAGAAACCGCCCCTCACCACATCCGAGAAGGGAAGCTACAAATGAGGGCATTTTCATGAAAGAACACATCCCAAAATGCAGAAGCTGTTTACTTTAGAAAAGGGGGCGGGAGAGGAGAGAGCAATAGAGAGAGAGGTGTAGCACTGACAGATAAACAAGAATTCTTCTTTATTAACCTAAACTCTAAAAACTAACGGTATCTGGCAATCTAAAGTCTGAAAAACAAAACTGATCCTATCACAGTTTAAGCTGAACAATACTTTCTTGATGAAAATTGGATGTTCTGAACTTGTTTTGGCAGAATTATCTTTTAACCTGATACACAAAACTACTTTTCCAAAATAACACTTAAAATACGAGCTTTCAAGTGTCTTACAATCTGCAAGTCTTAAAATTAAGTCTCATCCCTTTACCATCACATATCCTAAGTCACTTTGATTTAACATCATCTTCTGTATCATTGCCGCCTATTATTGGTTTGTAATGAAATCTGTACAATTAATAATAACCTTCTTCCCTCTCATCTTACTAGAGAGCCAAGGATGACATATCTTCTTATCTCCCTACTTGTTCCATTAGATTGACATATTTTGCCTCATCTGTCACCTTCCATAAAACTCTGCTTTCAGATATGAGTTAATTCATTTTTAGTTGTCCTCAATGTTCTAAAATAGTGATGTTTGACAGAATTAATACAGTGCTCTAGTTCTCTCTGTTCAACTGGTACTTAATTAAAGATCTTGGAGGCCATCTTTCTCTCAGGTTACACCATTTAAAGAAGGAACGTTACTTCCTCCAGACAGTGTGATAAGCCACATGGCACTAAAGCTGCCATCCCCAGGTCTCCCATTTAACAGATTGCTTTACCAAGTATAAACTACCAGCAAGACAGATTACCACTTTACTTCACACTGATTTACTTTTAACATCTCTGAACCCTCAGTCTACTTTGCCTACACTCGTTCTTACCTTGTAAATCTCCAGAATTGCTGGCGTTTTAACACTCCTTTACACTTTTATCATTGCTTCTGTTTGAAACAGACCTCAGAAAGTCCTAATGACGTTTAATCTGTAACATTTCTTGAATTTCTGGTTAACAATGCAGAAAAGTCGTGAAGCCATCAAAGAGAGCAAACTTGGAGCACAAACTGAAAATTCCCTGTTTTAAATTCTTTTGAATTAGTACCTTTTGGAGAATAGCCACTCAACTTGATATGTCATAATTTTCATTTCTAAAGGCACCATGGATAATTTAAATTGGCACTTGTTATTTATTACACAAATAATTGTTCTCTCGGATGGACTTTTGAAAGCTAGCACTTCTTCATCATTTTTTGACCCTACTGGAACCACAAGAGACATGTCAATTTAAGCAAACTTCAGGAGCAATAAACTAACAAACAGACTCTAGGTGGTGGTATAGGTTATTTTTTATCATGATGTTTTGCTCTTAAAACTGCAAGAGTCAGAGGAGCCTTCAGCCTCTTCTACAGACACTTCTTTCTTACAGACCTACAATCTTTTAGGATGTTTCAATTAGTAAACTCCAAGTTCTACAGAGTTTTGGAGGCAAATGCAATATATGGATCTAAGTCAAGTTTTCCCGCAGACATTAAACAAGGTTTTCAATTGCTTCAAGAGCACTGCAGAGATCTCACTTGAGTAAAACTAACAATGAGCAGACCTTTTTTTTTTTTTTTTTTTTTTTTAATACGTATTTACTCATAGGGCACTTTCAGGGGTAGGTGTGGAAGGAGGTGTTTCCCCACCAGAGTGAATGAAGTGGACTAGAGAAACAATCCCACAGCTGTTTCATTGACTGATTGTTCTTTGTCTCTAGGAACTAATTCCAGACAGAGAAAAGTTGCTACTGGTGATGAAGCCTTATTCTCGGAACCAGCTAAACCCACTCACCATCACTGAAGCCCCGAGCAAAACCAAAGCAACTTATTTCTAAGTTGAAAAACATTTCAACATACTCCAGGCAGCAGCCCAGTTAGGTGCCAGGCAATGGAAGCACTAGATGTGTTTAAAAAGTCCACTCATTTCAGGGCCTCTTCCACGAAGGTGGCAAACCGATGATTAAACACTGAATAATCCATCGGGAAGATGCACCCACTTGCTAAACCTATGATTCACTAATAAGTAGGTTCAATGCGATTCACAGCTTTAAAGAATGAGTTACCAAAGCCCTCTGCTTCACAAATCCCACTCCCCTCCCCCAAACGTAAAGAGCATTCATGGTATATAACCCAACACCTATTTTCACTTTGGACACCTATACAAAGTCTTTCTCCCTCTAAAGACGGTTTTTCAGGCCCGGACCATCTCACAATTTAATCATTTACATTACCGGAGACAAACTCCAACTTAGTTCCACCGACTGAGTGAGAAGTCCTTGCAGGTAGGAACGTCTTAATTTTTGTCTAAAATAAGATGTCCTATTAAGAAACTGAACGCAAAAGTACTTATCATTCTGTTCTTTTACTGTCTTCAGACACCCATTAAATCACTCATGAGATAGAAGGTAGAACCGCCTGCAATGCTTCTGAGATCAACATGTGTCAGAGTCCGGGCTTGCTCGCCTGTGAGCCACAGTTGATTTCCTTTGTTCTTCCAGTCTGAACACCAACTCTTGGTTAAAATTTGGAAACTACTTTGGAAAGGATGGGAGGGTTTGTAGACTATTTCCAGGGAAACCGTTCATAAAACAATATTCACTAGTAATAAGGAGGGCAGAGATGTAAGAGGAGAGAAAAGACGCCTCCCAGGACCTCCACGGGGCTCACCCCAAACGTGAGCCCCGCTCCGGGCTCGGGGGTTGAAAGTGATGGTTGAGGCCTCGGGTCCAAAGAGCCTCGCCCTCGGGGAAGGTGGGGGAGTGCGGGGGGGAAGGACAAGGACCGATCGGCCAGGCTTGGGGGTCTGGTGGGGGGGCCCGGAGAGCTGTCCCCTTTCCTGTTCACTTTTCTCGACCCGGAATCCGGCGAGCGCGGAGCGGGGAGGCACCGGGCGAGAGGCGGGTAGCAGCGCCCGGCGCCGCCCAGGTCGCCCCGGGCAGCAGGACCGAGAGCTGCGCGGCGACAAGCGCCCGGACTCCGGGCCGAGGGGGCAGCCGAGCGGGGGCGCGACCCGAGCCGGGCCACCCGCGCCCGGCCCGCCTCAGGGGACACACGGCGGCGGCCCCTCGGCCCAGGACTGCCACAGACCGGCCGGTGAGCCCGGGGCCAACTCCACAACTTGCCGGCCCGGCTGCCCGGGCCCCCCGAGTTCCCGGGAAGGTTCGGACCCGGCAGGAGGGGCGGAACGTCCCCGGAAACGCTTCCTCCCGGTCGCCGAGCCCACCCCGCCGTCCGCGTTCGCTCTCGCCGGCGGCCGCGCGATCCCCGCGGCCCCGACGCCCCCGCGGCCCTGCCCGCCGCCGCCGCCGCCGCCGCCGCCGCGGGCCGCGCTCCCGGGCCGTTTCCGGCGGCGCCCGCGGCCGCTCCCGGAGCCCCCGGCCGCGGCCGCCACTCACCCGAGGCCGCCGCGCTCCGAGCCTCGGGCTCCGTCAGGCTCACTCGGCGAAGGCGCCCCGCCGCCCCGTCCTCCCCGGCGCCCCGGCGAGCTCTTCCCTCAGATCGGCAGCGCTGCCGAGCGCAGGGGCGGCCGCGGGGCCACCGGCGGGCGTGCGCGGGCGGGCGGGAGGGCTCGGGGCCGGGTCGTCCGTCCGCCTCGGCCGCCGCCTCCTCCTCCTCCTCCACCGCCGCCGCCGCCGCCTCCCGAGTTCGGGGCTCTGCTGCAATGTCTGCGAGGCTGACTTTGAGCGCCTCGCTCGCCGCCCGCCCGCCCGCAGCCGCGCTCCTCCCTCCGCCGCCGAGTCCGCCGCGGCCCAGTCCCTCCCCTCGCCGCTCCACGCCATGCAGCTCTTCAGCCAAGTTTCTTAACCCTTTTTTCCCCCTCCCTCCCATTGTCACCGGGGCTGGAGGAAGCCGCTCGGGTCCCCGCGGCTCCAGGGCGCTGAGGAGCCTCCCCCCACACCCCCCGGTTTTGCTGTTTTCCTCCTTGCCCGCCCTCCAGATGGCCGGGCGGGGGCTGCAGGGCCCCCACGGCGGCGGGAGGACCGCGTCGGCCGGGAGAGGAGGGTGCTCCACGCGCCCGAGCCGGCCCCCTCGGCTCCCGGCTCTGTCCAGCCGCCCCTGACCGCCTGGACAGCTCCTCCCGGGCCCCGGGGGCTCGTCCTCGTCACCCAGGCCGAGGGCTCGCGTTTGGGACACAGCCTGGGGGCCGGGACGCCCAGGTCCCGCCGGGGTGCTGGCGCCTCGGCGTCCCCTCCCATCGCCCCCCGCCCCCCCGCCAAGACGCGCTTTCCCTCGGCTCCTTCTCACCCACCCCCAGCTTCCACCACCTTGCAATGTATGTGTCCTGCTTTGGTCTTGGGGGGCACGGGCACTAACTCCAGGTCACTTTGACCCCACGCCTTAGCACGCAGCAGGCGCCCGGGAATAAATGTGGAGTGACTCGGAGAGGAACACTGGGGAGGAGACCTGAGGAGTGCCCCGTTCAGCTCCTTGGACGGACGTAGGACCCAGGAGCAGGGTTTGTCTTCAGCTGCTTTGTCACTGCGAAGTCTCCAGCGGAGTCAGTCGGCGAATCTACATCACGCCGGGGAGAATTTGACCCTACCAGGCGAGGCAAAAAGAGCAGGGCTGCCACTTCTTCGGCAGCTCTCCTCGGTTCTGTCTCCGAATAAGAAATAACAATTACATCACGAGGCCGGGGCGGCAGCGCTGTGGAGCCTCTCGGTTTCCTGCAGCTTAATCTCGCTGCACCCGCCTCTAAACTGGGGGGCATATGGATTGGTGGCGAGAGAAAGTGGAGAGGGGAGAGAGTCCTACGAAACCATAATCCACCCCCCACCCCATCCCCGACCTTGCATTTGCTGTTTTAAAAATCCTATCCTCAATGCTCCCCCAAACATCCAACTAGAACTATTAACACCCCTTCAACACCTCCCCAGATGTCAGGTTTCTTTTTGACTCTAGCATCTAGCATTTAGTAACTCGCCATGAAAAAAAAAAAAAAAAAATTACCAGGGGAAATGAGTGCCGTTGCTGAAATTGTTTTTGCTTGATACAAAAACGCTGAAGTACAGCTTCGCCTCACCCCTAACTCAGAAATGGCATGCCTGTGTTAAAACACTTATTATACAAACAAATGAGTGGATGAGGCACTCCATTCTTACAAGGAGGTGTCCGTATCCTTAAGAATTCTATAACATTTGAAAATAGAGTTGCTAGCGCACTTAAACACCCCCCCCAAAAAACCCCAAAACTCATTATCCTAGTCATGAAACAGTATTCTGTGCCTGTTATGTAATGACTGTATTGTACATTTAAAATTTCATTTTACCTTTAAAAATATGAAAGTTCTGTAATACCTTCAAGTCTTAATAATGAAAGCAATGGTTAATATGCTTAATAAATCCACCACCCAGCACCGTGCTGGGCCCATTGTAGAAATAGTTTGCTTAATGGTGATAGTGCATTTTAGAACAATTATTTTACATTACCTTAGTGACTCAACTGTGCAATCTGTTGCCGTCTTATATTGTTTAAACTTCATATGATGGCTTATTGTGTGTATATACTAGTTTGAAATCTGTTCAAGGCAACTTAGTAAAACCTTCTGTTCCATAGTATATCATTTATCCAGGACTGATGCAAAACAAACTGTTCCAATTAAGTGATGATCAGCAGAATTGGAATCTGGCCCTTTAAAAGTCAAACTTCTTAAAAAAAAAAACTGTTAAGTATTATGCAAAGATTTTCTAAAATGGGTTATAAATTTTTTTCCTTAAGCAGTTTATTGGATTTCTTTCTTTCTTTCTTTCTTTCTTTCACTTGGCTTTTTCTTAAAAAGTCAGGGTTAATTTTATTAAAAGTGTTTATTATGGTAGGTTGTAGTGGATTCAACAAATACATCAAGTTTCTCTTCTATATCAGGCTTCTTCCCACGTGTTAAGAGATGCTCCCAGGAGGTGCATAAGCTATCAATGGCTGCGCTGAAGGACTCTAGGATGCTATGACTTCATGATTCGTTCTGCCTTTTGCAGTTTCTCTTTTCCCCTTCACTAACTGACGATCTGTTGCCCTTATTCTCTATTGCCACAGCATGCCTGCCGCTGGTATTTTCCTCCTCTTCGGACCAGCAGCTTCTAGTCTGGTGCAGACTGAGAATCTAGATAACTTCACTTCCCACAATTCCGTACAGTAAAACTAAATAGATCTTACGTAAGAAGCTGATGTGCTCACCAAGGAGTAAGACACATCAACCTCAATGCATAGACTTTGGGACAGCTATTCAGACCACTCAAATGTTGCTTTGAAAAGCATTGTTTTTGCTCCTTAACTGGGTTTTGGATCACTGAGGCTTATAGACAAACAGCCTTCTAATAAGTGAGGTTACACAGTTGACCCAACCAGCAGAGTATCGGTCCTGCCTTCCAACGCTAGTGTTAAAGTCTACAACCATTTGTCAGATGACTTAACAAAGGTGCTCACCTCTTATTAATCCATCTTCTATACCCCCCAAAAATCCAATCACTGAAAACCTGAACTCTTTTTTGATAGTGCCTTAGTGAAAGTAAATTGTGGACCTTTTGCGGAATTCATTTTTACTTAATCGTGCTAATTGTGGTGAGGCTCCTTTGTTGTTCTTTGTTTTTGAAAAATCAATACCTAAGTTTCCTGGCTAAGAGAGTCATTGCAGTGATACGGGGCATATATATAATATCAGAATGCCTATTCAGTAATTTGTATTTTGAAGACAACACTCATTTTAACCAATTGTGATGTGAAAAGATGCCCTTCAGTTTATATACTTAAACACAAAAGTATTTTTATAAACCCAGGGTTCCTGTGGCCTCAGACATTCATAGTTCAGGCTTAATATGATTATCCATCACGGAGAAATAGTCTGGGAAGCATATGTTTATGAGGTGCTCCCTAATCTCCGCTGTTATTAGCATCTTTTCACACCATCTTGTGACTGTACCCCATTCTAAATGCAAGCACTGCTGGCAGAGTCAGGGTCCATCTCCCTCTGGTTCACACTGGTATCTCTCCACCACCTATCCCTGTGCGCAACAAGCAGAATTCAGTAGATACTGGGCAAGACTCTGTTCTGGCCCAGTGGACAGTGTTTAGCTCCACCTGGGGTACAGGTGTGGGAGGAGGGAGTTTAGGGAACATTTTTGCAGAGAAGATAATGCTTCCGCAAACTATTAAAAGGTAAAATTTGCCAGGTAGGCAAAGTAAGAAATGGATTCTCAAGAAATGAGAAAAGACTGTTGGACACTAGAGAGGTATAAAGAAAACAAAAATATACATTGAGGGGTATTGAATCTACATTATACACTATGAATTAGTGACTAACGAACTATGACAACCGACAAAAATGTTTAGTGATGGGACTGCAGTGTAGCTACACTGTTATGATCTCCTTAGCCTCTAGAGAAAGTACGGCCCAATAAAAATGTAAATTGAGACACAAATGTGAGCTTCATATAGACTTTTAAGTTTTCTAGTAGCCACATTTAAAAAATACAAAGAAATAGGTGGAAGTAATTTTAACCCAATATATTAAAATATTATTTTAATGTATGCACAACATAAACATTATTAGATATTTTTCATTATTGACACTACATTTTCAAAATCCAATGGACATCTCAATTTGAATAAGTCATATTCACGTGTTCAAAAGTCACGTGCAACTAATGGCTGCTGTACTGGACAGAAGCTCTAGAGGACACAAGAAATATTTAACAATACAATTAAAAGAAATCTCTTAGGGGCGCCTAAGTGGCTCAGAAGGTTAAGCACCTGCTTTCTGCTTTCTGGGCTTTAGGTCCTGGAATTGTGATCTCCAGGTGCTGGGATCGTGATCTCCAGGTCCTAGGATCAAGTCCGGTGTCTGGCTCCCAGCTGGGCGGGGAGTCTGCTTCTCCCTCTCCTTCTCCCTCTGCCTCTCCCCCTGCTCGTGCTCTTTCTGTCTCTCTCTCTAAATAAAATCTTTAAAAAAAAATCTCTTAGGATGAAAAATCTAGATCTTATTAAATCTAAGATTTTATTTGTGTTGATTACTGGTGTTTGACTATACTGTTTTATAAAAACCACTTTCTTGTATCTAGGCTTTTATGCCAATTAGAAAATCAGCAAAGTTTACGTTTTATGTACTGTGTCTTCATTAACCATACAGTAGTTACAACTACTGCTATTTCTATTAACTCTGGTGGTGGACTGTAAACGTAAACTGGCTTTATGGCAGAAATAAAACACTATAAATTTGGGGTTGAATAAGCTTTAAAGAAGTCTTCTGTGAACTACCTCTGTGCAAGTTACTGTCAAGCACGTTCTGTGCAAGCCCAGGTTTTGCTTTTCAGTTCCTCCATGCCCAGTTAGTTACTTGTGGACTCTAAAATCCAACCCAGCCTCTTTTGAGGCAGTCACCTGCCTGAAGCCGGTGGTAAGGTTGTGCCGCAGAGCCTTGGGTACCAGGAAAGGTCTACAGGGCTCAGATGAAGATGTTGAGACATGCTGTCTGCAGGCTACTGTGAAGTTTTCCGTAATGACATTGGAGCCTTTTTACTTTTGGTGGGGCTTGAATGCCAAGGACTGGCAAAAGCAGGGCACTCAATTTCTACACTGAAATGAACCCTGAAAACTGGATCTTAAAAAAAAAGTCTGAAAATGATTGTGTGCCAGCAGCTTCATGATCTTAGTTAAGCAAAACCTTCTTAGATATGGTACCAAAAGCACAAGTGTCGAAAGAGAAAGTAGGTGTGTTGGACTTAAATAAAATTAAAATCTTTGGTACTTCAATGGACACTATAAAGAAAATGAAACAACTCACAGAATGAGAGAAAAAAATGCAAATCATATATCTGATAAGAGACTTGTGTCTAGAATGTATAACTCTTACAACTCAATAATAAAAAGACTATTACTCAATATTTTAAAATGAATAACGGCTCTGAATAGACATTTTTCCAAAGATATAAGTTAAGCACATGGAGAGATGCTCCTTGGCAGTAGTCACTAGGGAAATGCAAATCCCAACTAAAATGTTTTACCACTTCACACTTGCTAAGAATGTCCATAAACAAATGAAACAAAACAAAACAGTTAAAAACAAGTGTTGGGGAGGATGTGGAGTAATTGGAACCCTCCTACATTGTTGATGAAAATCTAAAGTGTCGTGGCTACTTTGAGAGGCTGGCAGTTCCTCAAAAGGTTAAATATAGTTACCGTGTGACCCATCAATTCTACCCCTAAGTAGATGCATGAAGAAATGTAAACTCTATCTCCACAAAACAACTTGTATATATGAATGTTCACAGCGGTACTCTTCATTACATAAAAAAAGAGAAAAAAGGCAAATATCCATCAACTGATGAATGGATATGGAAATGTGGTCTATCCTTACAATGAAATACTACTGAGCAATAAAAAGGGAATAAGCTGACACATGCTACAGTATGAATGAACTCGGAGAGATTATGCTGAATAAAAGAAGTTAGTGCCCAAAGACCGCATATTGTGTAATCACATTTATATGAGATGTTCATAATATGCACATCTATAGAGACGGAGAGTAGAATAGTGATTACCTAGGACAGAGGCAGGGTTTGGGAAGAAATGGGGATTGACTGGTAATGGACATAGGATACCTTTTTGTAGTGACAAGTGTGTTC